GGCCCCCCTGGCCGTCGAGGCGCGGACCGCTCACCCCAGCACTCGCGCCCTGAGGTCTCAGCTCTCGTCCCGCGATGTGGTTTTGGATTCGGATCTGCGCGTCGCTTGAAGGCGAGTGCGGCTGCCCGCTAAAGCAAGGGAGCAGCTGCTGCTTACGGGACGTCCAGATTCCGATTGCTCGAGGGCGAGTGTCCTCCGGGAGCCCCCGAGCAAGCCAGCTGTGAAGAGACGCTCAAGCAGCTGCGACGGGGGTGGGAAGGCTTCCTCCTCGGCGTCTGGACCGATCCTGTTCACCGCCAAAAGAAAGGGGGGGGAACCAAAACTAAAGATTCAGCAGTCAGGGCGCAAGACGAAGCCAGGACGAGGACAACATCGGGTGAGGACAAATCGAGCATCTCTGAGATCCGCCGGCTCCGGAGGACTTCCCGGGCGCCGCGGCCTTCTCAGAGCGCTCTGGAGCGCTCCGAGATCCGGGAGCGTTCTGGAACGCCCTGGAGCGGAGACATCCTCGTCGCAGCCCCGTCCGCAGCAGGGCGCCTGCCCCCAGGTTTGGACGCCCGAAGGGGGCACGAAGAACACGGATACGATGCCCAACAACAAATGCTTGAAGGGGCCCTGGGACACACAAGTAAACAGACACGAATAACAGGTACCCCACATGTCCCCATATTTTCTCGGTGCTTGTCTTCCCCCCCACTTCCCAATTTTCCTATATTTTCTGGGGAATCGACGATGAATTGTGTCTGTGTGTTGTTTCCTCTCCTGAGAATTGGACGCCCGAAATGGGTACGAAGAACATGGATACGATGCCCAACAACACATGCTGTCCAAGACCGACAGCGGCCAGTGTTGGGCAGGCGGCCCTGTGTCTCGCATGGACCACGGCCGCGGCGACGCCGCCTGCGAACCCTGTTCAGATAGAGCAAGAACTGCTGCTGGATTCTGTGCCCGTTGTCTCCGAGCCCGTTCCTAGGCATGCGACGTCCTGATGTTTTCAATACGGGGTCCCTGGAAGTCCCGACCCTGTCCCTGGGACCAGATTTTCATACTGAATCGTTTTTTGACGGTCCCGAGACCTGGCGAGGGCCCCGTCGGGCCGAAATCTACCAAAAACTACCAACCCTGATTCTTGTCCACGACGCGACCATGTCTGGGTTTCGGAAGCGGCCAAGAGGGGGGTGTCCAAGAGGGGGGGGTGCAAATCATGACCCGCAGCATGTGCGCGGCCCGGCAGGGGGGCCAAGGACCCAATGAAATGAGAAGAGGCGCCATGAAATCTGGGGAAATATCATGGCCCCCGCCATGATATCCACCCCCCCGTATCGGCTACACGCAAGAGTGACCCTGGGTAAGAGTGACCTGTGGTGAGCGGCTTTTTGGGGGCCCCGGGGGGACCAAACCTGGGCGCGCAAGCCGCTGTTCCTGCTTCGTTTCCAGCCATCTGGGGACCCATCTGTGCCCGCACCAAAGGTCACTCCGGCGAAAGGTCACTCTTACGTCTAGTCGACCGTAATTATCCCCCCCCTCTCTGCCGCCCCCGAAGACTGCAGCCAGGCCGCGCCGCGCCGCGGTCCCGCCCGTGACGGAGCGCTTCAGGCCCTCCACGATGGCCTCCCGCTGCTTCGCGATGCCCTCGCCCTGGAGCCTGGCGGCCTCGCAGTCCGCCTCCGCCTTCTTCACCACCTCGGGGGGCGCGCCTCGAGGATCGCACGGTCGAGGGTGGCACGGCGGAGGCTCCAGGCACACCTCCTCCTCCTCCTCCTCATCATCATCAGCATCATCATCATTCCTCCTCCTCCTCCTCCTCCTCCTAATTCCTCCTCCTGCTCCTCCTCATTCCTCCTCATTCCTCCTCCTCCTCCTCCTCCTCCTCCTCCTCCTTCTCCTCCTCCTCCTCCTCCTCCTCCTCCTCCTCCCCCTCCTCCTCCTCCTCCTCGTATTACTACTATTATTAAAATTAGCATTATTATTCGTAGTAGTGTCATCAATGTTCTTAGTAGAATGTTTCTTCGTAGTATTAGCAGTATGAGTAGCGTATTCGTATGGATGTTATTATCATTATGATTGGGATTCGTAATCTTAGTAGTAGCATCATGATTAGCGCTCGTATGTATAGTATGAGTACGCGTATTCTTAATAGTCGTATGAATAGTATCAGTATTAGTGTTAGTGATATCAGTATGTGTACTAGTATTAATATCAGTCGCATTACTGCACAGCATAATATGATGAACATTATTATTAGTTGTAGTAGTCGCAGTAGTATGAGTAGTTCCATTATTCGTCGAAACCTTCTTATTCTGTATTAGCTATATTCTTCGTAGTAATAATATACTCCTATTCTAGTATTAGTAGTACAGTTCGTCTTAGCCGTATGTTTCGCATGAGTAGTTTTAGTAATACTGTGAGTATGAATAGTGTTAGTCTTAGCTATAATGTTAATCATATGAGTCGCAGTGTTATTACTATTCGTATTAATTGCAATCGTCTGATTAGTTGTCATATGAGTATGATTAGTACTAGTAGTATTATTAATACTATTATCCGCATTCCTATTCGTGCTCTTCTTCGTCCTCCCCCTCCTCCTCATCATCCTCCTCGTCCTCCTCATTCCTCCTCCCTCATCCTCCTCCTCCTCTTCCTCCTCCTCCTCCTCCTCCTCCTCCTCCTCCGCCTCCGCCTCCTCCTCCTCCGCCTCCGCCTCCTCCCACTCCGCCTCCTCCTCCTCCTCCTCCTTCTCCTCCTCCTCCTCCTCCTCCTCCCCCTCCTCCTCCCCCTCCTCCTCCGCCTCCCATGTACCCCTCCTCCTCCTCCCTCCTCTTTCTCCTCCTCCTCATCCTCCTTCTCCTCCTCTTCCTCCTCATCATCAGCATCATCCCCCTCCTCCTCCTCCTCCCCGCTGCTCCTCAGGGGGGGGACGGGCTGAGAGAGGGGGGGGGGCATCGCCCGTCGAGGGGCGGAGGCTCTGGGATCTGGAACGTTCTGGCGGGAACCGACCCTGGGATCTGGAACGTTCTGGGGGGTGGGGGGGGGGGGGGGGCACCGACCATGGGATCTGGGACGTTCTGGCGGGAACTGGCTCAGGGGGAAGGGGGGGAGGGGTGGGGGCATCGACCGTCGAGGGGCGGAGGCTCTGGGATCGTGAGCGCTCGGGGAGGAGGGGGAAGAGAGGGGCCCCTCGGGCACCCGAAATTCATAAAGGCATCATAATAGAAGCAGGCTTGACAGTGGGACGCGGGAGGGGCGACCACTACAACGCGCGGACGTGCTGCTTCCCAAGCCACGCCGAAACTCACGCTGAATCTGACATGTTCGATGTCAGGATACATGGTAGGAACGTGGTTTGGGGGACCTGAGGATCCCAGCGAAGCGACCATCATCATCATCATCATCATAATCATCATCAGCATCATCATCATCATAATCATCATCATCATCATCATCATCATCATCATCATCATCATCATCATCATCATCATCATCATCATCATCAGCATCAGCATCATCATCATCATCATCATCATCATCATCATCATCATCATCATCATCATCAGCATCAGCATCATCATCATCATCATCATCATCATCATCATCAGCATCATCATCATCATCAGCAGCAGCATCATCCTCATATTCATCATCACCACCACCGCCATCATCATCATCATCATCATCATCATCAGCATCATCAGCATCATCAGCATCATCAGCATCAGCATCGGTATCAACATCATCAGCATCATCATCATCATCATTATCAGCAACAGTATCAGCATCGGCAGCAGCATCATCATCAGCAGCAGCAGCAACATAAGCACCATCATCATCATCATCATCATCATCATCATCATCATCATCAGAATCGCCATCATCATCATCATCATCATCATCATCACCATCGTCATCACCATCATCATCAGCACCATCAGCATCATCATCATCACCATCAGCAGCATCATCATCATCATCTTCTTCATCAGCATCATCATCAGCAGCAGCATCATTATCATCATCAACAACATCATCACCATCATCATCATCAGAATCAGCATCATCATCATCAGCAGCAGCAACATCATCAGCATTATCATCAGCATCATCATAATCATCATCATCATCTGTATCATCATGATCATCAGCATCATCAGTAGCATAATCATCTTCATCATCATCAGCATCATCATCAGCATCATCATCAGCCTCATCATCATCACCATCAACATCATCATCATGACCATCATGGTCACCATCACCGTCACCAATATCACTCTCCCTCTCGTCCGCGTCAAGCTCCGCCCCACCTTGATCTTGTCGGCCTCGGAGGCCATCACTGCCGCGTCCCTCAAGCGCTTCTGCTTGTTGATCTCGTTCATCGAGTTCATCACATCTTGACTCGGCTTGAGCTCGGTGACCAATGCTTTGATGATCTGGAAGCCGTACTCGAACATGCTCTTCGTCAGGGTTTCCTGGACAGCCATGGAGATGGCGTCCTTGTTCTCGAAGGCTTCGTCCAAATTCATCTTAGGCACGTGCGAACGGACCACATCGGACACGTACGAATCGATCTGGGCGCTGACGTTGGCAAGCTTATAGATGGCAGACTCCGCTTGATCCGGGATCACGGTCTGCTGGACGGACACTTTCACAAGCACGAAGACGTTGTCCTTCGTCTTTGTCTCCACGAACACATCGTTCTGCTCGACCCTCTTAGTGATGGAGCGAAAACTGATGCAGCAGCTGAGGACGTCAAAGCCAACGAAGTGGAGACCGGAGCCGATCACCGAGCTGAAGCTGCCAAACCACTCGACGGCGTAGATTTTATCCTGCGGGACTGTCACGCAGCAGTTGGTGCAAGGGAGACAACCGCTCTCAGATCGCACCTGCCCCGCCATCGCGTAGGGCCAGGTGAACCTGACCGGTGTGAGTCACAGTAAACGCCGCGCGTATACAAATCTTTCGCAACAGCGCGCAGGAATTCTCGAGCCACGGGAGAAATGGATGAGCATGATTGCGTTACTACTTATCTCAGATGCTTCGACGAGGAGAACCAAACATAACATCAACTGTCGGAGGTCCAGAGGCCAGAACAAGGACAAAAACATCCAATCGCCTTGACACTCGAAAGTCGATCCTCCTCCATCCAGCTCGCGTCCTAATCAATAACCAATAACCCCTCCCCATTGCGCCACCACAAGAAGTCTCGAAAAGGTGGACCAGGCGTTTCGCATGAGACCATCCCTTCCTCACTGCTTACGATCGTTCAGCTCGGAATGTCCAACAGCTACACGGATGGAGGGCGTGTCGTTTTCAAACTAGGGTTCTCGCCTTAGCGCCGCGCACACTCGGACAAAGAGAAAAAACAGTTACGCCGTCGGAGGCCGAATCGTCTTCAAACTGGGGCTCTCACTTTGATAAAGGAAAAAACACTTGAATGTAAACTTTTGGCGCTCCGCGCGGATTTCTTGGATTCGCGCCAGGGGCGGCGCTGGAGGCGCCGCCGGGGGGGCCAGGCGCGGATCCAAGAAATCCGCGCGGAGTGCCAAAAGCTTTGATTATGTGGTTTTTCTTCTTCGATCTGAAGCCGAGAACAGACGTATTACGACATTCGGTTCTTACACGGATACAGGGCGAATCGTTTTCGAAATAAAGGCCTCTTGGCGCCGCGCACACTCACCGGTAAGAGAAACCATCGCCACACCGCTGGAGGGTGCATCGCTTTCAAAATGGGCATCTCCCCTCGGCGCCGCGCACGTGAGCGTCTTTTTACTCGGCGTTTCGACATTGGGCGGGAAGGGTAGGGGCGGGGGGGTCTGGCTCTGGACCTCTGCTTAGTGCGGCTGTTTGCAGAAGTGCGTCCTGTGGGGGAGAAGCTCCACCTGCTCGATACAGGCGCCAAAAACAGCCAAGATCTACTCCACGGGGGGGGGGAGGGTGCGAGGGCCCGCGCCGATCGGCAAAACAATGAATGAAAAAACTATCACCACACTCGGATTGACAAAAACAATATTCAACAGTTAGACGCATGGGGGCGACTCTCTTTCAAACTGGATCTCGCCTGGCACCCCTCAAAAAACATGGCCACAAGTGATAAACGAGGAGCCGCTGCCAGCCCCCTCCTTCTCCTCCTGCTCCTCCTCCTCATCATCCTCCTCTTCCTCCTCCTGCTCACCCTGGACTAGACGAAGTCAGGACGGGGATAACATCGGGTGAGGATAAATCGAGAATCTCTGAAATCCGGCGGCTCCGGAGGATGTGTCGAGCGTCCTGAAACGCTCTGAGAGCGTGCGAGAACGCGGGCCGACGCCTCGAAGTGGGCTCTGCCGGGGGCGACCTCCGCGGGCCGACGCCTCGACACGAGCTTGCAGCGCTGGCCGTCCGGGGGCCAGCGGGCGCACGCCGCGCGCCGGCGGCGTCCGCGGTCCCCCTCTCTATTTTCTTTTGTTTGTTTCTCTCTCTCTCTCTCTCGAAGAAGAAGAAGAAGAAGAAGAAGAATGAGAAGAAGAAGATGACGAAGAAGAAGAAGAAGACGACGAAGAAGACAAATAATGATAAGAATAATAACACGAGACAAGAAGAAGAAGAAGAAGACGAAGAAGACCAAGAGTGATAAGAAGAAGAGTAAAGCGGGACAAACACAAGCAGAAACTTTCCCGCGCCGCCCCGCCCGGGCCGCAGAAACTGCGACGTCGCGAAAAATCGCGACTGGATACTCAGAGGCGACGATAGGGGCGAATAGCCCAGGAGGCGCCGATGATCTACGTCTTCACGTGTAATGGCCGCCCCGGGGCCATTCGCCCTTGTCGTCGCCGCCGAGATACCTGGACTCGTGCTGCTCCCACCGTACTCAGGGACCACATCCTCGAAATCATTTCGAGCACCCGGAAAAGTGTCGAAAGAGTGTCGAAACAGTGTGGAAGCAGTGTCGGACAAGTGTTTCCCAGGGCCCGACACGTGAAACCCTCGAGTTTGTGGGTGCTTTTCTGGTGCTCGAGATTATTTCAGGTGATCAAGGCTAAAACAAGTTGGAACATCGTAAACCTGGACTCGTGTTGCTCCCACCGTACTCAGGGACCACATCCCGGGAATCATTTCGAGCACCCCGAGAAGTACCGAAGCGGTCCCGCCCCAAGAGGCCCCCAAGAGCCCCCCGAGCGGCCCTGGGGGCCCCCGAGACGCCGCCAGGGAGCCCCAAGAGACTCCCAAGAGGTCCCCAAAGAGAGCCCCAAGAGGCCCTAAAGTTATGTCGGGCGTGTCCCCCTACAGGGGGATTTTCGACGAAAAATAAAAAAGATACCCCCAAAAAATCCCCAAAAGGTCAAAAAATACTCAAAAAATAGTCACCTGACTATTTTTGGACTACCTTTTGACTTTGTTTGGGGTATCTTTTATGTTTCGTCGAAAATCCTCCTGTAGGGGGACAGGCCCGACGTAAACCAAAAGAGGGCTCCAGGGCCGGCGGAAGGAGCGAGGCGATGAAATCATTTCGAGCACCCCGAGAGAGGCATCGAAGCGGCGTCGAGCGAGCAGCGCCTCCCAAGAGGTCCCCACGAGGCCCCCCTAGAGGCCCTAAAGAGGGGGAGGAGGAGGAGGAGCAGGAGGAGGAGGAGGAGGAGGAGGAGGCGGAAGGAGCGAAGCGATGAAATCATTTCGAGCACCCCGAGAGAGGCATCGAAGCGGCGTCGAGCGAGCAGCGCCTCCCAGAGGACGCCCGACGTGTGCAGACCCCCCCCGTTTCGGTGCCCTCCTCGGCGCTCGGAACCTCGCAAACCAAGGGCCTGCCCCCCCTACAAGGGGACTTTGGACGAAAAGTAAAAAATACGCAGAGAAAATGCTCAAAAGATGCTCAGAAATACTCAAAAGATAGTCCCCAGACTATGTTTTGACTATTTCTGTACCTCATAAACCCAGGGCCTGTCCCCCTACAGGGAGAGGTTAGACGAGAAATAAGAAAAATCAAAAAAAAAACTCAAAGATGCCCAGAAATACTCACAAGATAGTCCCCTGACTATTTTTTTACCATTTCTGCATGTTCCCCCTGTAGAGGGACAGGCCCGACTTAAGCCTAGACCCCATCTTTCTGCGCCGTGATTCGAGCCCGATCGATCTGCGAGGGCCCTGCAGGGGCCCCAAGCCGGGCGGTCACGCCCGTTTGTGACAAGATTGCGACGCCCTGGTGTCGGGGAAGACCCTGGGATCCTGGCGTCGGCTTTTCCGAGCCGGCCGTTTCCGCCCAGCCTCGGGCCCATGGGGCCCTCACTGATCGATCCCGCTCGGAAAGAAGGCTCAAAGAGAAGGTCTGGAGCTCCGGTAGCGATTCTTCGCGACGCTGCAATATTGTGTCGCGACGTCCGACTTTGGGGAAGGCCGGCCGTGCGCCCGAAGGAAGGGGGGGGGGCGGCGGCTCAAGGATGGGGCCCCGAGGGATGGGCCCTGAGGACGAGTGGCGTCAAACAGTGCGGGTTCAGCTTGGGATCCCGTTTTCCCCAAGTGTTGGGTCGGGCATGTCCTCCTACAGGCGAGCTTTGGACGAAAAATAAAAAGCAGTAACAAAATGCCCCAACTGGTCAAAAAATATTGATAAACGTATCACACAACAAAAAAGCACGTTCCCTGAGTACTTTTGGACTACAGTTGAACAATCCTCCTGTGGAGGGACATGCCCGACTTTTCCCCGAGTGGGCGGCGATCAAGACCAGGCCTTGCACGAGAGGGCACCGCGACCTTAAGACGCCGCGGCTTGCTTTCGCGGGCCGCCGGCGCGGCACGCCACACTGGAGACGAGGGCGCTATACAGTCGAACCCACTGTTTCTGTGTCGCTCGATGGAACGAGAAGAAAAACTACATAGACATAACTTTTGGCGCTCCGCGCGGATTTCTTGGATCTGCGCTGCATTATCCTCCCTGGCGCGCTCCGCGCGACAGGGCCAGCGCCGGGGGGTCCCAGGCGCGGATCCAAGCAATCCGCACGGAGCGCCGCAAGTTCGCGTTTATGCTGATGCTTCTTCTTCGACTCAAGTAGGCTTTGCCTTGTCTGGTTCGTACCTGTTTTTTTGTGGAGCACTGGAGAACTGGCAGATGCGGCACGCGGCCTGGTGCACGGTTGCCTGCTCGGCCTCCGCTGGCATTCCTCGGGTTGCCCAGTTGCCCCGGTTGCCCAGGTTGTCCAGTTGCCAGGCCTGGATTCCTGGGTTGCATGGTTGCCTGGTTGCCGGGCCAAACAATGCCAAGCCATGCAAGGCCGTGCAAAGCCATGCGAAGCCGTGCCAAGCAGCGTTAAACAATGCCAAACACTGCAAAGCAGCGCCAAACATCTATGATAAATGCCAAGTAATACCGAGCAACACCACACAACGCAAAGCAATGCCAGGCAGCGCCAAGCACTGCCAAGCAACGTCAAGAAATACCAGGGAATGCCAAGCCATGCCATGCGATGCCACGCAAAGCAATAAATACCCAGCAAAGCAAAGCAAAGCAGAGCAGTGCCTAGCAATGCCAAGCGCAACGCAAAGCAATGCAACTTGATGCCAAGCAACGCCAGCCGATGAAAGCAACAAGCCAAGCAAAGCAAAGCAAAAGTATGCAAATAACTGCAAAGCGATGCCTGCCTTGCTGAGTTACTAGTTGGGAAATTGTCCCCTAATTCGGGTCGCGCATGGCCCATGAATCCTCAGGGCCCATCTCTCAGGGCCCCATCCTTGAACCGCCGAGGGAGTCTGAGACGTCGCGAACAAATGGAAACAGGCTTTTCCGGCGGCACTTCTCGACGTGTGATGGTCCCGGGACCCGAAACCCGGAGAGAACGCCCGCCGTCCACAGTTGACATTGCCTGGACCTATGGGGGGGAGGCGACCCCCTGGGCCAGACTACGCTCGGCGTGTCACCGCCCTGAGGCCCCCCCCTTCCCCCGATGGGCTCTCGGAGGCGGTGGTCTCTGCTCCGCCCCTGCACTGCTGCACACACCAGGCGCGCTCCGTGGGCTTCCTGCCTTCGAGGTGTGCT